AAAAAAACTAGGGGAAGCCCTGGCTAAACTAGCTGGTAAGGCCGCCGAAGCCCTGCCTGGAATCCTGGGTAGCATCGTCTCGTGGTTGCTGAGCGCTCTGGCTAAAACTGCCACGTGGCTTAGTCAAAACCTGTGGGCAGCCATCGTCGCCGTGGCGGGTCTGGTGTACGTAGCGGCTAAGGAATTTTTAACCAAATGAGCCCCAAAGCTACCCCGCCAACCACCAGGGCTGTTTACGATCGATGTGCTGCTGAACGTGTGGGGACCCCACAGGGGCTGTAGGTGTGTGTGTGAACCCTAGGCTCTGGGGTGGCGCTACTATACCCGTTTCACCGGTCGTGGGTGGTGGGACGTGGGGACGTTGACATCGAGGTTGGCCCAACTTTTGACCCGCCGTGGCTATAACTATTTCGTTGTTGTAGCCCACCACTTTTACTCTCAGTTGCATATCGCCGGAGCCATGTACAGTCCCACGTCGAACACGTAGTCGACTTTCGACCTGGCATATTCCAACACGTCTTGGTAGCGTTTGATGGCACTCGGGAGATCAACTGGAGCATTAATAGCATCCTCAACGTTGACAACGAACTGTTTCTGAGCGTCGTAAGCAGTCCCCTTACCTAGGATATTGGAACGCGTTTGCGTCTGCGCACCCAACAGCGCCCACACGTACGTTCGAATCGAGTCGTTCAACCTGATTACCCCGGCACGAGTAAACCCTTTCGACGTGTCCAGCATGAACTTTTTCCAGCCATCTTCCCCCTGCTCGAACCTCCAGACTCGGTAATCCTTGCTGTTGTCGAAAGCCATGTAACGGTCATCCCACTCGTTTGTTGTGATATGATACGACTTGTATCCCCATTCTTTCAACTTCTCGCTGGCTTCCGCGATAGGCATATTGTGAGCGATGGGGATACCCAACCCGTGGTTCGGTCCCGACAAACGCCAATCCGTCTTCGTGTTTAGTTCGAATTCGTTGCAAATACGTTCGTAGGCCCGTCTATCGTACTGGTTGTTTACTGCATTCCACGCCTTTTCCTGTGGAAGCGGGGCGCTGATCTCTTTGAGGATACGCCTGACCTGGTAGTATACGTGAAACGTGAACACAGACTGACTCAGCGGTCCACGCCGAGTGTCGGTCAATGTCACACCACACCCCGTTGTAGCGCACCACACGGCGAAGTTGAGTTGATTCTGCCAGAACTGCATCGGGTTGTTGAACCAAGCGTGAACTACCTTAGCGTTAGTCACCGAAAACTTATACTGGCCGAACACATCTATGAACTGGGTGTTGAAATACAACCCATCAGCGACCACGATCTTCATGTGGGGGAAATCTACGTCCAGTTTAGGGTAAAACACTCCAGGGGAGTACATTTTAAAACTATTATATAATGAGTTTATATACTCTAACATGTACATAACACTTTCAGGAATAACGAGCGGCGAGGCCGTTCAGCTGACGCACGCGATCGATAACACGTCGGGTCAACTCGAAGTCGCACTGTGCGATATCACCTACCTACCACGATGGACTAACATCAACGCTAGCAACAATAAACTGTTCGTAGGTGGCGCTAGCAACAAGATAATTGACGGTTACTACAGCGTGTGCTCTCTAGCGACGAGGTCTTCAAACCCCTGGGGCCGAACTCAAGATGAACGACTCAAACGGTACAGTGGTGTTAATCAACAACGGAAGAAACTCCTTGAGGCTCGGTCGACCACTGGCGAGGACACTCGGTATACAGCCTGAAGAGATAAAACCAGCGACTACCGCCACAGGCACGGTTACCCGACCTAGTACCGTGCGGGGCTGTGCATTCATCTCAGTCAGGTTAGCACAACGGACAACATTCAAGGGGGTCACCCTTCCACTATACTGAGAGCCGTACCGGTGAAAACGGAGAAATACAACGACGGCAGAACCGAGTCGTTTTCACCGCGGCAGTATAAGAGGTTAACCCAGGGCAACATCCCTGAGCTGATAATATCGGTGTTAGATATAAATCATAATCTCGTGAATATAGGATACCTCAGCATAACGCTGCACATAAAATGACCAGCGCACAAGGTCCTGGAATGAAGTTGAAAAAATGCACCAATGTGGGGATCTCCGACCTCGGGGACACACGCGGATTCGACGACCCGGGTAGATGGTAAATTATGCATGCCTTGCAACTGAAAACAGCATTTACAAACGCGTTGAAGTCCCCTCAATGGTACTAGCAATCTAAATGATATGGTAGATACCTCAGGAGCGGTCGTCAACACTAAGTACACCCTTGTCAACACCGGTGATGATAACTGGATGATATACCCATCGTTCGGGGGCAAACTGTTCGACTTAGACGATGTTGAGAGCACTACCGTCGCCGAAACAAGCCATATCGCTAGTCTTCACCGATGATGACAAGTGGGTGTTATTACCCGATAAAGCCGACTGGTTTCTCAACATTAGGCTCGGCTCCCCTACGTGTTCACGGATAACAAAGACAACCACCTAAACAAAGTCGTAAACAACGGAATCCTGCTCGTGGCTTACATCCCGACTCAGAGACGTAAGCGTAGTCATCAGCCCACTCGCCAGTATGGCAGCCCACATGCTATCGAGTAAAAGCGGGCATGCAAAACGTGGTATTGCAGTTGGTGTCTGAATTCGAAGGCGTGGTCAGGATCCTGGAGAGTCTACCGGCGAACTCAACACTTATCATCCAAGTCTACCTAGGGGAACCATCGCGGGATGATGTAGAGATCGTGAAGGGGGGTCAAACTCGATTGGGGAACAACAACAGTATCACGTTTGCACCGTTTACGTGCGGGTGGGTGTCGACTCCAAAACCAGTCTGCAGGGTGTCACCGTGGTCGTGGAAGACATTATATCACTAACCAAGATCTTCCTACCCGACAACATACACTTCATGGGGGTGAAGTGCACCCCTGAACTATTATCAGAAAACCAGTTGGAAATTATCTCGTAATAGTATTATAGCAATGTCTTGGCTTCGCCCCAACACTACGCTTAACGATCTAGGGGACACGGAGGGATTCGATCAGCCTGGTGAGGAAGACACCTTATACATCCTGCACTTCAAAGACAACGTGTATAGGCGGGTGCCGCTATCAGATTTTAAAGAGCCTGAATGGTTAGTCAACTTAACCCTCTCCTCACCCTATATCTCCCTGAAACAAAATAATACTATCTCCGAGATTAAGAACAATGGTATAATTCTAGGATCGTTCGTTCCGGAATCTAGTGTACAAGTCATACCAGTACCGGGCTTCTCGGGTAACATGTTAATTTCCAATGAGAAGGTAAAGACAGAGATCAAATTTCCCAGTCCCCGATTAATTAGAAGTGTCGCGGAAAACTACACATTCATCATAGACGTCTATCTCGGAGGTAATCCGTCGCCTGGGGTGTATATTTACATTATAGATGATATGGTCATACATTGGGAAGACAGGTGTAATAACCAACGTTGTCGTATTACTAAGGTATCGAGAAACAAACCTTTAGCAAGCCTTGATGGGGTTCGTCTCCTTAATGGGAGTAGAGCTGAGACCCTGCTTTTTTACACGCACGTTAATCTAAGTATTGTTGGCTTTAAGTACATTAATCGAAGGTTAAATGAAACCCAATTAAATTATCTTTTGCAATATATATTATAGGATGGGACTGTATCCAGGCATAGATGAAGTAGCGAAGACCCTGGAAACCGTAGACGGGTTCCGCTTGAGGCAATTATGTGATGTAAGACGCCAACTAGAACAAGACCGCGACAAGCGTAAAGCATTATATAAGAAATACCATAGGGTTTTCAATGTCGTGGACGGGGCTGACACTGCCCTTATGACAACCAGCATGGGACTAGGGGTGGCAGGTGTTGGGTTATTAACCACCATCGTGGCTGTACCTATAGTGATGGGACTCGAAATAACGGCTGGAGTGACAGGAGTGTTAGGGTTGATACTTAAATACACATCGTAAGACACATAGACTGCATCGTAAGGCATTAAAACACGACGAGATCAGGGTTCTGGCCGAAGCAAAGCTAAACACGGTGAGTGAGCGTATTTCCACTGCACTCGCTGACAACAAAATCTCAGAGGAGGAGTTTCGTTTGATCCTATCCGAACTCACAAAATATAACAAAATGAAACAAGAGATTCGATCCAAGTCTCGTAAGTCTGCTGCTATCAGTGAGGACGAGAAAAAAAAGTACATAGAACAAGGGGTGAAAAAGGCCCAGCAAGCTTTTATTACAAACACCAAAGAGATCCTAGGCGATTCACGTTAAACTGTTTCGTTGAGGTCAATGTGACATAGTGTCATAGATAAAGTAGATATCAAAGCCGACGAACCTAACTTGTACTACTTAATGGATGGCCCCGGCAGAGGGTTTGTAAAAGAAGAATTATTAATCATACCGTATGACACAGTATTACCTCCTGTCAACACGACATAGAGGCAAGATACCCGGTGGAGTTCGTATCCCACTATAGTAGAGGTAATGGTAGCAAGAGATAAGGGTCCCCAACTAAAGTCTTATTTATGAAATAAAGCTTTGTAGAAGGATAGTAGAGGGTAATGGGAAGGGTCCGACTAAAGCTTTATCTATTAAATGAAGCTTTAGATTACCCTGGTCCAGGATTCTCATTCTGTCTACTACTTCCCTTGACAAAACTGAGTACGGCTCGCTCATTCAGAGTTATAGCACACCATACATAAACGATCCGCCGCAGAATATGTGACTCTTCAGAGTGAGTATAGCAATATCACGGCGGGGGACACCAGAAATGGGATACACACATTGTACCCATGTGGGGAATCGAACCCGGGTCTTCGGCGTGACAAGCCAAAGCTTCAACCACACGGCTACCCCACCGCCCCTCACCTTTTAGACACACATTAGATTCATATTTATCCGGGAAGTGGAAAGTGAATTGGGTCTCGTTTGAGACGTTGTCATTGTATACGTCATTGACGTCTATTGCAGACGGTTTGCAAGTGGCAGAAAGACGTATGGCAGTCAAGCATGGAGGCGTGTAGCATGTATACGATTTCTGTTCGTCTAACCCACATCTCATACTGTTGCCGACGTGGGTCATTACGAGAAACGTCAGGTGTGTGTTGCGGCTACATTTATTCGACAGGACATGGTATAAATAGTGAATCAGTCATTCCATCACCCGGTAATAGAATATAACAGATAACACATGGAGGACTACTACCTTCACAGTGGCGCTGGGGTAACCTAGTGGTTAAGGCGTTGACTTGTCACGCTGAAGACCCGTGTTTGATTCCCTACATCGGTACAATGTGTGAAGCCCATTTGTTGTGTCCGTCGCTGTGATATTGCTGTGATATTGCTGACAGCGGCGTGAAACTAAACTCATTCACTCACCTATAACGTCACATCTACATATATCATGGTTTACGCTAAAGGCATACAACCGATGCCTTAAAAGACTTGTCATTGTAAGATTAGATGATGTGGAGTTTACTGTTAGGAAGAAGTAAACAAATTATGTGTTGTCAGTATATTTATACCTTACTTGTTTCAGGATTCTTCAATATACAAATTATGATATGAGACGATATTGGATCAATCTCAGTAAACCTAATTCCACTTTTCAGGTCTGTACGATGAGCACTGAAGAAACTAGTCCAGTGATTCCCGCCGTGGTCGGTGTCGATGTTGGTGGTACCAACACCGATGCTGTAGTGCTCAGCAAAGACAAGAATAATTCCACAGTGATAGCCTCAGTGAAGGAGTCGACGTCAGCCGACGTTACTACCGGTGTCCGAAATGCCGTCCACGCCGTTCTCCAGCAGGCAACAGACAAGGGTCATAGAGTGGCGGTAGTGCAGGTCAACATTGGTACCACCCACTTCGTGAATGCTGTTGTAGAGGGTAGAGGACTTGCTCGGGTCTCTGTGATACGCTTTTGTGGTACGGCGTCCCTAGCTCTTCCACCTTTCAGCGACTTTCCTCTGGATCTCAAAGAAGCCATATGTGACAGTGTTCACCTTCTTGATGGTGGTTATAGATTTGATGGTAAGGAGATTGACCCTTTGGATGAGAAACAGATTACTGACACCCTTTGTCAAATAAAGGCAAAGAATATCAAAAATATTGTTGTGTCAGGAATATTTTCTCCTGTGAAATCCACTCAGGAAGAAGCCGTACTGAAAATTATCGCAAACAAGTATCCAGAAGCGTCAGTTACACTGTCTCACAAGATTGGACATATTGGATTACTAGAAAGAGAGAATGCTGCCGTTCTAAACGAGTGTCTGAAGCCACTCTGCAGGAAAACAGTTGAAGGTTTTCAGGGTGCACTGGCAAGTGTTGGTCTGTCGTGTCCAATATATTTGACACAAAACGATGGCACCATCATCAGCTCTGACGAAGCTCTTCTGTATCCAGTGTATACCTTTGCATCCGGACCAACAAACAGCATGCGAGGAGCAGCTTTCTTATCAGATGTCAAAGATGCCATTGTTCTGGATATTGGTGGCACAACCACAGATGTAGGCGTTCTGAAGAACAGGTTTCCTAGAGAAGCTTCCACTCAAGTAAAGATTGGAGGGATCAGGACAAACTTTCGAATGCCAGATGTTCTCAGTATTGGTCTTGGTGGTGGGTCGTATGTGACAGAAAACACAGAAGGGTCAGTTACTATTGGACCCCTCAGTGCTGGGTACAATCTGAAGAATGAAGCCTTCATATTTGGTAATGGTGACACTGACTCTGCACGGAGCCTAACTACATCTGATGTTGCTGTTGCTGCTGGACTGATGGAACTTGGAGAGGAAAAATATGTTGAGCATTTATCCAAAGAATTGGTTGACAAAGTGCTTGCAAAGATAGTGGCTATGATAGAAGATGCAATCGATATGGTCAAACTAAGTGGGGAAACTCTACCTGTCCTTCTGGTAGGTGGTGGGAGTGCCTTAGTTGACAGGAATCAGAAAATGAAAGGTGCCGCCGAAGTCATTATCCCCGAACATTCAGGAGTTGCTAACGCCATTGGTGCTGCCCTGAGCCAAGTTTCTGGTAGTTATGATAGTGTTGTATGTCTCCAGGATATCGTGGACAAACATCAGATGGATCAAGCTGTTGAAGCCGCCTTAGTCGCAGTCTCGGATGAAACAGATGAGAAGAAAGTCGATTTTGCTGTGGAACAAGCTCGAAAGCCCTTCTTTGTAAATGCCAGAGATACGGCATTAGAAAATGCAATACGTAAAGCTAAGGACGTGGCGATAGGTTGTGGTGCTGACCCAACATCCATTGAAATTACACAGAAGGAGGACATGACTCTCTCCTATATCCCAGGCCAGGCAGTGAGAATAAGGATAAAGGCAGTTGGAAATTTGGCAGAATTACAAACTGCCAATGCAAAAGAGTGGATTCCAAGCCCTTTGATGAAAGGCGAATCAATGTCTGGCAAACTTGAAAAACAAACAGGGACTTCAACTGGGAAGAGGCTGACTGATGACAGTGAGGCAGGAGACGCAACAAAACACCCAATGGATCCTCAGATTGACCCTAATACCGGAGAATGGATTCTCTCAGAATGGGACCTGGAAGCAATTGTGATTGGTGCAGGTATTTTTGGATGTGGCGGTGGTGGAAATCCTCACATTGGTAGACTAAGGGCTCTTTCGGATATACAGAAAGGCAAGAAAATACGAATTATTTCTCCAGAAAAACTGTATGAGAAGGCAGATCCAGACAACGATCTTGTTGCTATAGTAGCATTCATGGGGGCTCCGCTGATTATGTATGAACAGATGGTGTCCTCTAACGAAACTACTGGAGCGTTTAGATGTATGGAAGATCTTTACACAATTGGTAGATACAAGGATGGCATTTTGGAGAATTCAGAGGGAGTTGAAATCCAGATGAAAGATGGGATGACTTTTATAGAGAATTACCAGACCAGGTTAGCGGTGCAACAGCCAAAACGGATAATTGCTTTTATGTCTGGTGAGATAGGAGGAATGAATGCTATAGAACCTCTTCTTGTGTCAGCTGATCTAGGTCTGCCTGTTGTTGATTCTGATGGAATGGGAAGGGCATTTCCAGAACTACAGATGTTTTGTCCGTATATGTATGGAGTTCCTGCTCATCCTGCTGCTTTGGTGGATGACAGAGGCACACGAGCTGTGATGCTGCAAGCACCTTCACCCAAACATCTTGAAAATCACTTCAGAGATACAGTTATTGGGATGGGGTGTGCGGCTGGGCTATCCCTCAGCCCTCTCAACAAATCTACTATTATGGAAAAAACAGCTCTGTATTCCGTTAGTCACGTGTGGAGTGTTGGTAATGCTGTCCTGAAGGCCAGGGTACAAAAGAAGTCCCCGATCGAGGCCATTTTGAAAGCAGAAAGGTCCGTCCACATCTTAACTGGTAAAATCAGGGAGGTGCAGAGAGAAACAAGCGGCGGATTCAACAGAGGGAAGGTTCTCGTTGAAGGCCTTGATTCCTTTGCTGGACAAACAATTTTGGTTGAATTTCAGAATGAAAATCTGGTTATTTTCCCCTTGGATGCCGAGAAGAAAGCTGGGGAGGCAGTGGCCTCTGTCCCAGATCTCATCACCATCGTTGATGCAGACACAGCCGAGCCTATTCCCACAGAAGAGGTGAAATATGGACTCCGGGTTGCTGTCCTCGTACTGGCCTCCCCGGAATTACTACGAACCGATCAGGCTTTGCGATTTGTCGGACCGAAAGCCTTTCATTATGACGATGTTGAGTTTACACCAATAGGGGACGCGTATCCTGTTCAACCAATACCACCAAGACACTAAATATATCGGAAACTGACTTACTGAACAAAGACAGTATTTCAAAAATAGTGAGAGAGAGAGAGAGAGAGAGAGAGAGATAGATAGAGAGATAGAGAGAGAGAGAGAGAGAGAGAGAGAGAGAGAGAGAGAGAGAGAGAGAGAGAGAGAGGAGAGAGAGAGAGAGAGAAGAGAGAGAGAGATTACAAACAAAAACATCTTATTATGACTAGGGGTGTCGCGATACGCGAATGTATCGATGCATGGATACATTCTTACTGACGATACGATACGCAATACATGCTTGGGTGTATCGATTCCTATTTTGAAACTTTATCGATTCAATTTGTTTATGCTATATCCATCTCCTTCATAGTCGTGATAGTAAAATTATACGAGACCGCTCCGATAAATAGATGTAGCAAGCTTTACTTAAAAAATAGGCAGCAGGTGATAAAGTCACAGCTCAGAGAGCGACACTGAGGCCTGACAACGTCAACATGTTGATTTTATTGAAGAAAAACTTCAGGAAGTGAAGTGATCAAAGTGATGAATGATTACAATGTGTTGTGAATTATGATCCTGTCAACTGTTGCAGTTCAAAATTCAAATAACTTTTGGTTGATTTTGTCAAATATGACACTGGAGGCCTGGCTGAAGGCTGAATGTTTCATCATTAGATAGCAATGATGATTATTTCTTATTAGTTTATTTATCTGCTGTGACAACACTTTATCATTTGCCTTGTGACAATTGTGACTTGACTGACTTGCTGGGGCAATATATTCAGTTCTAAATGTATGTGCATCTATTCTATGCTTGATGTTATGTGACATAGGAGAGTACTGAAGAATACCAAAAACAGAACCATTTGGAGATGGTGGTTATACTACTTAGTTAAGTTGGTTCATGTAAATTGTCATGAACATAAAGCATATTTATTATTTAACAACTATTTTCCATTGAGTCAATTGTCACTAAGCTGATTGCTGATTGCTTAAGAATTATTTTTCATTTTATGTGTTTTTGTGACACAGTATAAGATCAGTTATATTACTTGTGACTTATTCAAGGTTTATACTTGACAGACTTGCTGCCAGTTGCTGATGCAGATCATTTATGTATATTTACTTTGAAACTGGAGACAATTGGAAGAGTTATTTCCACAGTTACCAAATTGACCCTGATAAGACTGATACATTTTATTTCATCATGAATCATGATGATAATGATGACAAGCATACCTGACAAGTTGGACATACAAAAGGGAACCTTGGGACTTTGTTTTTATTTTAACTTGAATAAAAGTTTTCTGAGAACATATGCATACTTATTGAATTATTAGCAAAACTAACATGATTGTTATAAGAATTTATTAGTAAAGTATCTCAGATTTACATCCCTCTTTAAGCAGCGTTCCGGAAAATCGCGATACGTATCGTATCGTGACCTTAAAATCGTGATACGTATCGTATCGTGAGATTGGTGTATCGTGACACTCCTAATTATTACAACACGTACATGAATATCAACAATCGGATGTTTAGAGATATATGTACAGAAATTTATGACATGAAGAGAATCATACAGTATAACAGTTCACAATGTGAGGTTTCAGGTCATATACATACAAAGAAAGGCGTAACAGTATGGTTTCCCATAGTGTTGAATATAAAGAGGTATCAAAAAGTCGTTTTCTGCTCCGAAGAGAAAAGACAACATTTCTTGTTCACCTTCCATTTCAAACATTGCGTAAGTTTCAACATCAAGTTTATCAATTAAGTATGCAAAGAAGTCATTTCGTTGTTGTATTAAGTTTTCACAGTGAAGAAGCATATGGAAATCATAGTCAAATGTTTGTTTATTACAAAGAGCACACTCTTGAGGTTTTACCTCTTGATAATATTTTGACACAAAATTGCAAGGAAGATTTATAATTAGGGTGTTTATATGCCAGTTGTCAGAACGTATGATAAGAGAGTGTAGTATGAGTTGTTGCGTAAAATGACATGTTTGAACGATAGAGAGTTTGTGGTCGCCATAATTGTTCTTCATAACTATGTACAATAGCATTTACAGTTCTTCTCCATACCCGTTTTGGAGGAAATATGCCTTGAGCAATAGAATTGTCAACAAATATATTTAGATTATACTTTTCAGATATTGATAAAAGATTATCACAGATGTTGTTAGATTTTACTGAAGTTGTAATAGCAGCACAAAAGATATGTTTTGCAAAGTTGTTACACTCAGTGTTACATAGTCGCCCAAGAAATAGCATTTATCGATATACCCAGTTAGTGACCATAATCCTAATTTTGCAATGGTAGATATTGATGATGACCTCTTACCAAGACCTTGCACATGACAAGCAAAGTATCTTTGTGTTTGTTCAAAGGTGTCAGCCTGTTGGACTTTGATGTTTGGTAAGACTTCACAGCCATAGAGACTAGTTTTAAGAATCATTCTGAGCCACATTTTAAATATTTTTTAGTTTTTGTTGAGAGGTTACTTGTAAATAGTACACCCCAATATACGGTAGATTCTGATAAGGGGATTGGGATGTTACCAATGCTACAGTGGAAGTTTACATCATACCCTTTTTTTTTGCTAAAACGATGATGGTACTTTTTGATGGGTTATATGTTAGTCGCCATTTAGAAGCGTATGAAAAGACAATATCTAGTGATACTTGATGGCCATTAGGGGATGTACTTATGAGTGTAGTATCGTCAGCAAGCAAGACAGTTGGAACGTCCATACCAGAGACAAGGATACCACTGCCAGCATCCCTTAAAGATGTAATTAGGTCATTAATAAAAATGAGAAAAAAACAAGTGGATATAACCCTCCCTTGTCAAACACCTTGTTTGACCAAGTACATATCTGACCTCTCGCCGTGGTATGCAACACAAGATTGGCTATTGGTGTAACGGTGATGTAACAGTTTCCACGTATTACCTCTAATACCAAGTTCATGAAGCTTATAGAATAAACCATCATGCCAAATTCTGTCGAATGATTTTGCATTGTCGAGAAAGGCTGTAAAGACAGGGGAATGTCTATGGTTATAGTATTGTATACTCTCCATGAGAGTAAACACAGACATTATGGCTCCATGCTCTTTTCGAAATCCAAACTGTAACTTATCATGAAAGTCCGGATTTGATTTAAGCAATTTATTTTCAATTCGTTTGAGCAAGAACGTTTCAAATAATTTACCAAGGCAAGATGTTAGTGTGATACCTCTGTAGTTTCGAGGGTCGGTTTTATCATTTTTACCTTTGTATATTGATTTTACCATTCCAATCCTATATTCGTATGGGACATATTGAGATTCAGTCATATGATTGAATAGTTTTCATACATAATTAATGAATACATCACCTGCATATATGATATGCTCGTTTGTAATTTTGTCGGGACCTGAGGATTTTTTTCGCTAAGAGACTTAACAGCATCCTTTACCTCATCAAATAGAAAGTCTCTTTCGAGTTCCTCATCATAATCCTCAGTGCTGCTATTGTCAATTTCCTGAACCAATTGAGATATGTTATGTGGTTGAGATAGGTCGGTATATTATTTGCCCCATATTTTACATACTTCAGAGAGCGTTGAGCCGCTCTCGCCTCCGTAATTAAGTGTAGATACATTTGTAACTACTGACCGTTGCTTTCGGACAGTTTTGTAGAAAGTGTTTACGTCCAATTCAGCTCATTTCTTTTTTATGGGATCTTTTTGATTTTCGAATCAGACATCGGAATTTTCCTTTCTCATCTTTATAGGCAATGTAGTTCAGAGTCATGTTCCCGAGGTTTACCAGAGTTGATCCATGCACGCCTAGCTACTCGCATATATTGTGTTTTGTCGATAGGCCCATTTCACCCACAAACAAAGAGATTAACACTGCTGCTGCCAAAGTTGATTAAACGACGCTATTACCCATACTTACTACAATCCAAGTTGATTGAATGACTCCATTACCCATACTTACTACAATCCAAGTTGATTCAATGACGCTGTTACCATACTTACTACAATCCAAGTTGATTCAATGACGCTATTACCCATACTTACTAAAACCCGAGTTGATTCATTGATGCTATTACCCATATTTACTACAATCCAAGTTGATTCATTGATGCTATTACCCATACTTACTACAACCCAAGTTGATTAAATGACGCTATCACCAATACTAATTGCAACCCGAGTTGATTAAATGACGCTATTACCCATATTTACTACAATCCAAGTTGATTCAATGACGCTATTACCCATACTTACTAAAACCCGAGTTGATTCATTGATGCTATTATCCATACTTTCTACAACCCAAGTTGATTAAATGATGCTATCACCCATATTAATTGCAACCCGAGTTGATTTAATGACGCTATTACCCATATTTACTACAATCCAAGTTGATTAAATGACGCTATTACCCATATTTACTACAATCCAAGTTGATTCAATGACGCTATTACCCATATTTACTACAATCCAAGCTGATTCAATGACGCTATTACCCATACTTACCACAATCCAAGTTGATTCAATGACGCTATCACCCATACTTACTGCAACCCGAGTTCATTAAATGACGCTATCACCCACACTTACTACAACCCAAGTTGATTAAATGACGCCATTACTCATACTTACCACAACCCAAGTTGATACAATGACGCCATTACCCTACTACAACCCAAGTTGATTAAATGACGCCATTACCCTACCTACTACCACCCAAGTTGATTAAATGATGCTATTACCCACACTTATTTCAGCCGAAGGTGCTTAAACGAACACATGATAAATCTACAAGAATATTGATTCTACATGTTCTGTGTGTGTGTTGTAATTATCTCTAAAGAAGATGTGTATAATAACACAAACATACTTTCACTTCACTTTCGAAATAATGTTTTATTATACAAAACATTATTTTTGTGAATATATTTATACATAATTGGTTCCTTTTAATCGGTTTGCTCGTGGTCACCATTGTTACAAATCAGTCTACTAGCTCTTTTATTCATATTTTTGTGGGCAGTTTATATCACAGTATGTGAATAGGTTGCAACTGCACATGTAGATAATCTAGGTGGATTAGTGCATAAACATATACATAAGTGGATGGGTAAACAAGTAGAGACCTAGTGAACTGACTGGCTTAATTATGAAGTAAATGTATTCTGACTCAAGTAGACCATTCGAATGATATAAGTGGATAATTATGTTATAATTACATGGACAGTAGAAATAATAAACATATCAGTGGTCGTAAAATGTACGCATCATTATATAAATAATCAATTTTATCCTTCAATTAAATCTGAATAAATCTCTTGAACCGATAAATGAATCAATCACTCAAATGGTAACCACTCAACCTAACTCAACAATCAGTCAATCCGCTCTATATAACATGGTGTCAATGACAATTTCTATTGGAAATGGACCGGTACATATATACAATCAAACAACTTGACATGTCATAGGAGCGGTGAATGAAAAACTGCAGGAAAGTAAGTTGGTTATTAAAAGTATCCGATGTTCACTCTGTTGGTGGAATTGGAACCGTTACTTTGCTTTGCCCAAATGGTTGAAATTTGACAGTGTCTGGATATTGAAAAGCTTGTGGGCCCACATACTTCAAGGCAGTGTCGGTTCTCAGTATGTCAGGGGACGCAATCACAATAACAGACACCCTCATGCCGTACCGGACCTCCTCTGTTGTGATTGGTTCCGCAGTATCAGCGTCCACGATGGCAATGAGGTCCGGGACGCAGGCAATGACGTCACCTTCGTCATTGTTCTCATTGAGAGGTATTATGACTAAATTCTCGTTCTGGAAGTTGATCAGTAGCCTTTGTCCAGAATACGTGTCAAGCCCCTCGATGATGACATGCCCTTTGTTGTAGCCACCACTGGTCTCCCTCTTGACATCTCGGATCTTTCCAATCATGACATGGATAGACGTCTCTGTCTTCAGAATAGCTTCAATGGGCGAAGTCTTTTCGATTCTGGAACGGAGGATAGCGTCTCCTAGCCTCCAGGCACGACTAATGGTATGTTGAACACATTTCGTCAGAACATCCTCCTTGACGAGAGGAGAAAAGGAACACCCAGCTGAACATCCCATTTCGGTCACAACATCCCGGAAGTGATGTTCAACTAGAGTCGCGTTTGGAGCTTCCAGCATCACCGCCTGTCGGTTCTTGTCATCCACCAGTGCAGTAGGGTAGGCAGGTAGACCGTACATATATGGGCACATCATGCTGAGTTTAGGGAATGCTCTCCCCATAGCATCAGCGTCCACCACTGGGAGATTGAGATCGGCTGCGACCAGGTACGGTTCAATAGCATTCATTCCTCCAATTTCAACTGCCATCAAAGCTTTGATTTGTTTTCCTTTGATTGAAGGAGAACTTGAGTTATGATTGCCCGTTTGTTTGTAATCATTTATGAACCGCATGCCAGCTCTTTCTTCGATCGTGACTCCTGATTTGTTGTTCAGTGTCCCATTTTGGAACTGGCCAATGTTGAAAATATCCTCTACACATCTTATGGCTGCAGTTGTCTCTTTGGAGGACACAAGTTGCTCATACATTATGAGTGGCGCTCCATAGAAACAAACAATGCTGACGAGATCGTTCTCGGGGTCTGCGTTCTTGAGTAGACGTTCCGGGGTTATGACTTTAATTTCTTTCCCACTCCGAAGAGTTTCTAAAGCACGGAGCCTTCCCATGTGAGGATTTCCACCCCCTCCGCATCCAAAAATACCAGCTCCAACAACTATACATTCGATATCCCATTCGGATAAACTCCACATCCCAGTTTCAGGGTCAGTCGTGGGGTCCATGGGAACCTTTGTTGCATCATTGACTTCATCCTGTCCAGACAGTTTAGTTCCTCCAGCAGACACCTCCTGTTTTGAATGCATAGTTTCCAGTGAGACAGATCCTAAGTCCTCGTCTTCACAAGCAAGCCATTTTACAATCTTGATATTTCTCTGCACGTGATCCGAAAGATCTCCAACGACCTTTATTTTGAGTCTTGTTGCCTGACCCGGCATGTAGGACAAGGTCATATCCTGTTTTTCTGTAACCTGTACAGTGGATGGATTAGCCCCTGCCTCAACTGCTACTGCTGTAGCTCTTTCTATAGCTGAGGCTAAGGCTTGGTCTCTTGCCTTACTGATGAATGGTTTCCTTGCAAGTTCTTCTGCCATTTCACTTTCCTTTCCATCAGGATCTTCTGTGACTTTAGCAAGAGCGTTCACTACACATTTGTCCATGGCTTCCCTGTCTATCATATCTAATATACTGACGATGTGATCAATACTACCGGATACCTGACTCAGAGCAGCTCCAATAGCGTTTGCGACACCGAAATGTTTGGGCAATAAGACTTCTGTGGCCCCAGGTAAAGATCGCTTCAGGTCCACTAGGATGCTTCCACCACCCACAAGGATTACAGGAAGTGACTGATCACTCAGTTTAACCTTATCAATTGCCGCCGCAATCATGTCCTGCACTCTGTCCAGAGCCATCGTTACAGCAGTTTCTGAAATGCCTCGTACGAAGTCCTTGTTGCCAAGTTCAACTAATCCTGCAGCGACAGCAATGTCAGTTGTTGTGAGTGATCTCCCTTCCTCTCCAAATTCATTGCTGAAGACCAGTGCCTCGTTCTTCAAGTTGAACCCAGCACTTAGAGGTCCTACGGTAATGCTTGTGATCCCATCCGACTCATTTGACCGAGGAATGACATAAGAACCTCCTCCAAGACCAATACTCAGAACATCGGGCATGCGAAAATTGGTCCTAACGCCACCTATCTTCACATGGCTAGACGCTTCTCTTGGGAAACCATTCTTCAAAACGCCCACATCGGTCGTTGTACCGCCGATATCAACCACAATTGCGTCCTTTATCGATGACAGGAAAGCAGCTCCTCGCATGCTGTTAGTGGGACCGGATGCGAATGTATAGACCGGATATTTCCTAGCTTTGTCTGAGCTGATGATGGTTCCGTCATTCTGTGTGAGGTAAATAGGACAGTCCAGGCCAATACTTCCCAAAGCGTCTCTGAAACCGTCGATCGTACGTTGACAAAGTGGCTTGAGACATTCGTTCAGAATTGCAGCATTTTCTCTTTCAAGCAATCCAATATGACCAATATCATGTGATAGCGAAACGCTGGCGTCTGGTGATACTTCCCGGATGATACTCTCTACTTCACGTTCCTGATCATATCTAATAGGTGAGAAAACTCCACATACAACAAAACCTATGGCTCCTGATGCTTTCACAATCTCCTCAATCTCGGCCCTGTTGACATCATCAATCGCCCGTCCATCAAAACGGTACCCACCCGCAACAAGATGTGTCGTGTGACAAATGATATCCTTAAAATGCTTTGGAAAATCGCTAAAAGGCGGGAGAGCTTCGGACACAGAACCACAGAGTCGGATAACAGACACCTTGGCTAAATCCTTCCCCTGCACAGCAGCGTTGATGAAGTGGGTTGTTCCGATGTTTACTTGAACAACTCCCACTGACGTCCCAGACCTGCAGGCCTCATTCAGGACCTGCTTGACAGCTCTCTGTACTCCCGTTGTCACGTCACTGGTAGTGAGCTCCTTCACACCAGCAATGACCATGGGTTTGTCCACGTCCTGCGTTATGACAACAGCATCGGTGTTGGTCCCTCCTACATCAACGCCGACGACGACTGGAATCACGGGCTTGTCACTCATATTTCTAAACTGAAAAACAGATAAATAAATTTTAACTACATATTAATAATGCATAACTACAGATAATTTATTAAAATTTAAATAAAACTTTCTACACCGAATGTGTTCATATCAACAGCAAAGAACACATGTACTATATATAATTATTTATTTAATGCCCAGTAACAAGAACAAATGACAGGGATGCCAAGCTAAGCTCCCTATCCATGACGAGACTTGGAATCAAAGTAACGTTCATATACTTCCCATCTAAAGTTTAGACTCACTTCATGTTACTTAGTGTAAATATAGCCAATTACTTCAATCAACTGTTCTAAACTAAATTTTGCAAAATATTCCATACTGTTTAAAGGTACTGTTTACACATGAACTGATGTAGTAAAACAAATTCGTAACGTTAAAAGGATTATTGTCATGGGTTCAATAAATGCTAAAAATCAGTGAAAATTGGCGAATTCTTAACAACACTTTACACCAAAACGCAGCTGTTCATATGCACGATATTTGCACATGCTTTTCAGCAATTTGATGCATGATCCTCGTGCAATTCATCTGCATGAGATTTGCAGCTGGTTCCCCCTAGTTAGTGGAGAAATCAATCTTCGATGTAACCATATATAAATATATACATAACATATAGTGAGTGTATTAACTTTTGATGGGAAGTATATCATTCTTGTACGCCGTTTCCCTTGCCAATGTATTAGAGGAAGAGGAACAATATCTTGTTCGATTATATCCATATATAGACAATATATGATGGAAAAGACTAATATAATGGGAAATTGCCACATGCTACATACTGTAACTGTAAAGACAATGTGTGAATTACCTTGACGTCTGGCTTCGGAAAGATTCCAACATTCAAGCGATGTAGAAGTGATCTTGTATTACACCTTACTGACACAAGGTCTATATTTCCAGGTCAAGGGAGTGACTAAGTGTTATCACCCTATCCTCTTAATGAAAGTCGGCCAAAGTTTAATACAGACGATGCTTCAAAGTCCGCAAGTGAGATAATTACCTGACCAGGGCTCTGTGTTAAGGACACAACTTAAGTGAGTGAGCGAGTGAGCTTAGTTTTACACCGCATTCAGCAATATTCCAGCTATAAGACGGCGGTCTGTAAATAATCAAATCTGGACAAGACAATCCAGTGATCAACAGTATGAGCACAGATCTACGTAACTGAGATACGATGACATGTGTCAACCAAGTCAGTGAGCCTGACCACCCGATCCCGTTAGTCGCCTCTTACGACAAGCATGAGTTACTGAAGATCAATTCCAACCCCAATCTTCACGGGTCACAGCTTAAGTAGTGGTTCGCTCAGAGTATATCACTAGTTCTATAACACCAGAAAAACTTGTACGAATAGTTTCACACACGTGCATGCATGTCGTCACACAGGCACAATGATCATTAACGAGATGTTAAACATCATTTCACTTTTGTCGTTTTGGAAATATACACGCATCTTTCCCAACAGAAAATGTGTTTGGTCATTGTTTGAGTTAATAACGGGCAAGCACTTTTAGATTGATAGCGGTGCAGATTGTTATACAGTACGTGTATGTTTTGTCTTCTGTTTGGGTATTTTGGTCCTCCATTGTTTGCGTCTGTAAGATAATATACCTTCGTCCATGATTCATGATCCGTGGTGTATCAGGGTTCATAAAACGAACCGAACCGAAGCAAGTCCTCTACTGACGATATTAGACGGTGAGTGAGTATTGTTTTACGCCTCTTTGGGCAATATTCCAGCAATAACACAGCGAAGGACGCCCGCATGCCTTCATGTGGGGAACCCAACCTGGGTCTTCGATGTGAATAGCGAAGACTACAACAACTAGGTTATCCAACAGTCATTGTTATTTAACGTATTGATTAACGAGTGAGTGAGTGAGTGAGAATTTTCACGTATTTGCAGCAATCAGAATGCGTTGAGTCTATGTTCCTGACATCATAGGGGAAGAATGTTTGTCCATTAGAGACTTAAGGATCGGGTCATTGTAATAGCCGACACTTCCCTGAGTTTTCGTATCTTTGCTCATACCATCAACCCCTGGTTGTGTTTGGTTCAAACTTAGTATTAACTGACTGCTTTGATATACAGTCAGCTCTCGTTAATCCGACACTCATTAATCCGACAATCACGTTAATCCGACAACAATTTAGGGAACCATTTAAAACAGTGATAATTACTCTTGTTAATCCGACATTCTCGCATTCCGACTCCGACACACCAATCTAGCAACTGATTATTGTAAATACATTGTAAAAACATTCCTTAATCCGACAATCAACACAGCCCGTCGGATAATCCGACCATATACAAACAATCACACGTGAGTGGTAATTAGCGTATGCCTTACTGGCTGCTTGACACTGACGTCGGTGAACATCACACTTGTTAATTAGGAACACAGGATAATTAATTGAGACGATTTAATCAAGAAATAACAGTAGAGCGAGCTGTATAAAATGTTTACAACCGACATGAGTTTTCATCACAAGATGTCTGTCACGAGTACACCACCTGCTAAGCGAGCCCGAGTAGAAGTTACACCATTGATCAAGAAAGAAATCTCCTTTTGAAGAAAGACAAACCCCAGACAACACAACAAGTCATCACTTTTGCTGAGCAGAAGTTTGATGTGAAGATTGGACGATCAACCGTATCTGACATCCTGAAGCAGTCTGCTTAGTGGTTGAGCGTCTCTACGACTGATTCCAATGCTTCAAACTATCTGAGGCCAAAACATCGTTGAACACTTTGCAAACATTTCTGACACACCACATAGACGTGTAACATTGTAACATTTTCAACATCGGGGTCATAATAGCTGCTGAAATGCGGTAAAAACAAACGTGAGTTTTGTGGCAATGTGGTTATGAGATAGATATGAAACTGATTGATTATGTGATTATATATGTATGTTATGCCATCTATGATGTTAATAAATGAGAACAAGGATGTATTGTTATTTTTTTTTTATTTCTGTGAATATTTTTACACACGATGAAGATAACTAGATATACCATTTCTGATATGCAAGAAACAGTATGACGATCATGACATTTAATAAACATTGATAATTTCACACAAATACATTAATCCGACATTTTCGTTAATCAGACATATTTCTCTGCAACCACAAGTGTCGGATTAACGAGAGTTGACTGTATCTATTATCTGTTCAAGGTATGTACGAGTCCACAAATGTCAGCCACTTTGTCATCTCGTCAGTCTATATCTTTCGACATGTGACATGTAGGTGAATTCTGCAGATAGTGTGGTTTCAAGTTTCATATGTATAATCGTTCATCGACCTGGATCTTGACAGACAACAGACATGTGACACTAACGTAGATTGTGATATATTGTTACACGTGACAACTGTACTAAACCCTTGCTATAATTAACGTCCAAGGTTTAATGTACAAAAAGCATTAGTGAGTGAGTGAGTTTAGTTTTGCGACGCACTCAGCAATATTCCTGCTATATGGCGACGGTCTGTAAATAACCGAGTCTGGACAGACAATCCAGTGATCAGCAGCATGAGCATCGATCTACGCAATTGGGATACGATGACATGTGTTAAACAAGTCAGTGAGTGTGACCACCCGATCACGTTAGTAGCCTCTTACAAGCATGGGTTACTGAAGACCAATTCTAACCCGGATCTTCACGGGTAACAAACAGCTTTTTGTAGTATTGATACCTATGGTCGTCCTGATGTTACAGGTGCGGTCATTTGCATGATTCTGGCATACAATCCTCAAGAAAAAGAGGGGAAAGATTCATAAATTTCAATAATCAAGCACAATGTCAATATCCGGTGTTCCTTCTGCCAAATGCAATACCATTCCCTGACCCAATTCCCCGCTGACTGTATGAGACGTTGAATGTCACTTTGATGTATTGAGTTCCATTCTTGATGGAGGGTTTGCTACATCAGGCTTTTGTACTAAGGGATCTCTCTGGCGTATTCTGTGACCCATAGCGTCCTAAACATACTGTATGTGATTGAGGTCTGGACTCCTGGCGAGCCAAGGTCAAGGTGTCTTGACGTAGGAAATCAACAACGACACATACACGATGTGACCTAGCATTGTCGTCCATGAAGACTAGCCTTGTGTTCAGGGGATAGTCTTTGAAATGTGGTACAACAACCCTGTCTGGCATGTCAGCAATGAACCGTTGTCGTTTTTTGTCTGATCGTCACAAGGTCAAGTTTCAATTATGTGAACACAACACCATCGAATCCCCGCTAAACGGTACTTGCTCCAAGATATTCTGTTGTGTATAAGCAGTGTTTCTGCGGCAACAAATGCGAGCGCGGCCAGCTGTCGTGAACAAACACAAATCGACTTTCATCCGACTATTGGACCCTTCCCCATAAGTTCAAATCCATTTAAAGTGGAGCTTGACATGAAGCTCGACGATTTAGGATCGTTCTCTTGGACAAACGACGATATGGAAGCAATTAACACGCCCGTGACATGGTCGTCGCCATGAAATCTTGAACTCGTATTCACCGCTGTACTAACCTACTTCTACAAACTGTACTGCGCCTGTCTTGTCACATCCTAACTCGATGTTACACATGAAGCAGCGATACAGATGGACTATTGGTAAAATAAGAAACAAACAAACCCGTAGCACGTTCCAGGTTTATATACATGTAACATATGTCTGTAACCTCATTCTACTGAGTTGTCCCTCAGTTGCTGGTTTAGTTCAAACGACGCTTGAATATCTAATTTGTTGTTTTACAGGTTTTCAAGGATAAAAGTCGATGAAGCAAGCGGAGATAGGAGAAGTGGAATATACTCCTAATACAGCTTAAATAATTTCTAATTATCACTGACAAAGTTGTGTAACATACATTTACATCTGCATTATTGGCAACTGCAAGAATTGAAGTGTAATGCATGACTCATTTGTCCCAAAGTTTTGTTCCAACTACTGCTGACTTTGATCCTTTGAAGCAGTACATAATAACGTATTTGGTGAGGTAGTATCATAATGTATCATCACTGTATGTATACCCAGCCGATACATATGCACGTATCCTGGTACATTTCCGCGCGCAATAACGATGTTGTTTATGATTTGAAAAGACAACATTGCATGACGTCACGAACTTTCATTCCTGACGTCGTGTGTGTGAATGAACCTGTCATCCACGGTCACGTAAATGACATTGTCCTTATCAACATACACAGCCCGTGGATCCGACACCTCATCAGCAAAGGTGAATTTGTCTCTCAAAAACCTCCCCGTGGGACTCAGCTGGATGACCTTATGGTTGTCTTTGTCCGCTATGTAGATATCTCCTGTGGGGCTCTGACACACCCCGAGAGGACGACTCATCGTCATGCTGTCTCCTGGCTGGTACTCAAACTCCACTGTCCCGTCAAGGCTCACACACACAACCTTGTTACATTTCCAGTCCGACACGAGGAGTTTGTTGTCCAGCGTTGCATACAAGAACAGAGGTTTCACAAACATGTCAACACCGAAACATCGGAGTCTCGTCCCTGAGAGGTCTATAACATCAATGACTCCCACCTCCTCTCCACTACAGGCAAGGGTTGATGCATCCAAGCAGGCCAACCCAATATATCGAAGCTGGGTTTTGATTATCGAGTCTTTTTGTAGTTTAGGAGCAACTGAGATAACTACTAATTGTTTCTTCTTTGGAACTGCAGTGACAGCCTTTGACGAATCAAAGTTTGTAATACCGTATGGGTGACTGTCCAGTTTCAGGACACTCTTGTTGGATTTTCCCAATGATATATGAAATGAATGCACCATTCTGTCTTCGGGCTGTGTTACAACAATAGTTTTAGTGCCCTCAAACGAGACAACAGTCAGGTCATGCACTCCTGTCCGTCCGATATCAAACTGTACCGTCTCACTACCCTTTTCCTCCTTCTCTGTCCCCGCGATTATGTAGCCAACTGTCACCCTTCGCAAAGACGTCATTAATGAGGTTTTGTTATCAATAAATTTAACATCCACAACACCTCCCGTGTCCAACTCTTCAGCTTCTCCTGATTTGGTATTGACGTCAACAGCTGAGAATATTTTGTATACTTCATAACGGTCCATTACTGTTGATGATGACAGGGCTTTGTTGGCAAACATCATCCTCTGTTGGGCATCCTTCAGTACCATTTCGCCATGTCTGGCTCCCTTCATCAGTACCAGATCAGCCCCATCCTTTATCTGCTTCAGCCGGTCTGTCACCTGGCTCTGCTGATGTCGTATTTCAGCAACAAGTTCGTCGCAAGTCTCGTTGATCCTTTTCTCATCCTCTTCATAATTCCTAGCATGGTGCTGAGTCTTTTTATTCCAAATACTGACGTGCTCTTCCAGTATAGGGATTCTTGTTTTCAAGTCATATTTCATGTTCTGCAACAGGGATTCTATTCTTAAAGCTGCTTCGTCTAATGGTAGCACCTTCTTGCAACTTCTGTGATCCAGGATGCAACATCGGGGACACACTGCTTCATCGCAGTCCTCACAAAGGAGGTCAATGACCGCATCGTCATGCCTGTCGCATCTTGCACGTCTTGGTACTGTTTTCACCACGTTTTTTGTGACGTCAGTCGCTGTGTGAGATGTGTGAAGTTTTCTGTGTACCCTTTCACAGTCCGAACACAGTGACTCCCCGCATTCCGGACACCACACAACAGCATCCTTTGTTTCCGTGTCATCAGTGCAGATGCTGCAGTCGATACGTTCAGCCGCTGTAACATAGTTATAGTGTGATTCTGGAACTTGATCTATATCATGATGGTAAGTGGGTATTACTTAAATTATGTTGAATATTACGGCTTTAAGTCGAACATATATTGCTAACCGTTTACCTCCACCAATGTTGAAAGCACTGATGGCGAAATCTGTAGTGCAGAGTGGAGTCTCTTTGGTATGACAGGAGCCTGTGATTGTAGGTTTGAATCCCGGTTTGTCCCAATTATGGTTATAGGTTTGTTAGCACTATACCCGTGCTCGTGGGTTTTGCATAAGTTGTAAGTCAAAGACCTATAACACTCCGCGCTTTCCTCGCACATCATTCCTTGACTTTCACTACCATACTTCCGATAGTTCTAATAATATATATGGCTTATATAGTCCCCTATTTGCGAAGAACATATGGGCCAGTTTAAAATTTTGCATTACGTTCACATACCTCCGTGTTCTGCAACAGTGCCAACGAGATTCTTGACAAAGGCGACCGTCCCCACCTGCCCCACCCACTCGTCAAGGGGTTGCTGGGGGTGAGGCACTCTCGTCTCCCCACCACACAGTGGACAGTACAAAACGTCCAGAGCTGAAAGGTACATAGGTACAATTTTCGTAAGCTATTTCTAAATAAATATGTCTCCACTATATGTTTGAACTACGTAAGATGTGACGGTAAGATGTGTGCATTTAAGCATTAATAGAATTATTAATTGAAATATTGTTTATGATAAGTTGCCAAAGAATGAACTGAGGTGAAATAGATAAGGACAAACTTTATGGATGAACAATTTCTTTATTCGGATGATGCGACGTAGACGCTGTTCATCCATAAAGTTTGTCCTTATCTGAATCACCAACGTCTAAACATGCCACTCAAAGACGTGAGCTGTACCGGGGCCTTGCGTGTGTGTAAATGTATAACGCTACACCACTGAGACACCGTGTCTCAGAATGGCTAATCCCATTCAGATTCATCCTAATGGCCCCGAGCACACCGGTACAGTTCCATCCGTTTACTGCCGAACACCAGGCAGGGCAACAAAATGTGTCATCTCTTTAGGTCAGGTGATCTGACGTGGATTAAGGATAAACACCGACCTGCCTCTATCCTTTCATACGCAGTATTCGTTTGACCACAGAGGAAGCCTTAAACAGTCAGATGGTTATACAACGTTGCGTGCGTTGCAGGCAAACTGAAACCGTTGCTCTTCGGTTTGAGAAGAAAGCGACATCAGCCAGTCATCGGCTTGATTGTACGCGGTTGAAAGTTAGTGCCCTCTTAGGCGAATTGCTTGATGTCGCTTGCAAATAATTGCTGTTTTCAAACGCACCTGTAGCGTACATTCAAAATAATTCCTGTTTGATGCATTGTCGGCATATCATAGAATCTACATCAGCACAAACAATACCCAATAGTGACATTCTTCAACATTCTGTCACTGTAGCGTTGTTCTGAAGTTATCAGATGAGTGTTGATATCAGCTTCCACACACTCGCTTATGTATGGACGTATTTCACTGGACGAGTATTGTATAACTTCTAACATGATGGCAATATAGTTACCTGTGGCGTCCGGCAGTTGCTGGGAGTGTTGAGTGTGGCTGGTGACACACGATCCACAGAAGCTGTGACCACATTTGAGCGTCACGGGAACTGTGATCACGTCGTCACAACTTATACAGGTCACTACTGTCTGGGAATGATCAGTTGCCATGGCAACACAGGTGGAACAAAACTGAAATGAAAATCGGATACAATTTTACAACACAGTTCGTATGATGACCATCATTACACGTCCTCTTTAAACACTCGATGAGCATGTATTGTAATGTTAGCCATACAGAGATAGGGTGAAGCCCATTTCTGGTGTTGCTGGAATATTGCTAAAAGAGGTGTAAAACCATACTCACTCACTCACTCGTACAGAGATAGAGGGACATTGCAAAACTGTATCTCTTATGCGTGTCATACACATAAGATCGTGGGTGGGAATTTAAGACTCATCATCATAACCGTGGCCATTTCAGTCAAGTGGTCAACAGCTTAAGCCGTGACATTACTCCGGGCTTTCCTCCCACACAAAACACGCCGTGATATAACTGAAATACTGGCAGTGTTTAAACACACTTATACACAGGTACAGAGCTAGATATATTGACGGATATGATTTACCAAGTAACAATATCGGCGTGTATGAAGTCCACGGTGAAGACCAGTCAGATTTCCACAAATCCATTATACAACATGAATATAACTACCTTCTTTGACATCCAAATGGTTCCTACTAAAACTACCTCTTGTGATTTGTTTGGAGAGACACATGCTTTACAAACCTCTGCTACCTCTATTCACATATACTTGTTGTTAATCTTGTTGACAGATGAATGCCTTCACTATAAGCAGTAGTAACAATATGCGACAAACGTTTGTCAAATGATAGTAGTAAGCGCGGTGAGAGGCGTTGCACAGCTCTTTCATTGTCGGCGGTTACTGATTCACCTCAAGCATTGAGTGTTTTGTATAAACCCAGGTCAAATGCACAAACGCCGTCCGCTTGACTGTTTTCTATACGTGAATTAAAGGGACGTTATTCTGTGCAGCAAACGCAATTTTAATAATGACTATACTCAAAACCTCAACATATTTTACTTACTAACGTCATGGAATCAAGGATTATGGGGGATTAGTTAACTCACAGGTCCACCAACTGTAAATTCAGATATGTGTGAAAAATTAAATTCCAGTTAATAGTTTGCTTTTATGAGTGTTAAGGCTCGTAAGCCTAAATATCAAATAATCAAACAGTTTTTGTTCGTGACCAAGACAAGGAGTGATTACTGCCACTACGAACTTACTAAAGTGTCTAGTTATGCGAACCACCGACTCAGAGGTTTCAAACAGAAACAACCTGTACATCTGCTTAAAAATAGTCTTAATTAAATTATAAAATAATGACAAAACTACACTATGCAGTATACACATACTGTCCATCATGCTGTTAGACTTAAGGGTAATTGTTTCAGATAAGATTTAACATAAGGTTAATTATTTATATGCTTGAAACCTTCCATGGCTACTGGTTGAGTAGACAGACGCCTCGTTCAAACTGATTTTCAACAGAATAGAACACATTCATATTTGCGTTTTACGCCCAGAAGAATCTGTTTTGACGCAGAATCGAGACTGATGTTAAACTGACCATGCCTTTATCAACTAAGTCCTTTAATGACCATCATAATATATTTCAAACTTAGTTGTGATCAAATAAGCAATTGTTTATCTTTTTTTATAATTCCTCTTACCTTGTGGGTTTGGTTACCTGTATTATGTCCCGTCATGGAGTGTGTATGTACCTGGTTGCCCTGCGCGACGACTGGGAGACTGTTGCCCGGTCCCTCCATGACTGCTTGAAGAACGCTAGGCACCAAATATGTGCTGATATATAGCACCGGCACAATCACCTGTCCGTGTACAATAGATGCCATGTCATGATGACATACATACAATGATCTTAGTCCTGTGGCTATCAAAGCCTATGTTCAACTAAGTGATCTGATGATACTATCGTAGTTTCCATATATACGACAGCCTTTAGTTCTAAGATTGCGTTGTGCAATTGAGTCATAAAAGTTAGCCACTTCTCACAATAAATATATATAACACAGTCATTGAATAAACTCGTACCCTGTATTATCATCCGTCTGGCGAACTGATGAATCGTTTGGTTTGTTTCACGTTCCTTCAAAATAGATATTTGCCGTACACGCACGCTTACGCTGACACATACACAGACAATTACACAGACAAAGACACATACGCAGACACAGACACATACACAGACACAGACACAGGCACATACACAGACACATACACAGACACAGGCACATACACAGACACAGACACATACACAAACATATACACAGACACAGGCACATACACATACACTTACACAGACACAGACACAGACACATTCACAGACACAGACACTTACACAGACACAGACACATACGCAGACACAAACACATACGCAGACACATACGCATACATAAACACATACACATATGCAGACACATACACATACAAATACCCAGAGACATACGCAGACACATATGCCGACATATACGCAGACACATACGCAGACACATAAGCAGACACATACACAGACACATACGCTGACATATACACATACGCAGACACATACACAGACACCTACCCAGAGACATACGCAGACACATATGCAGACACATACACAGACACATACGCAGACATATCCACAGACACTTACACAGACACAGACACAGACACATACACAGACACTTACACAAACACAGACACTTACACAGACATACACATACACAGACACTTACACAGACACAGACACTTACACAGACACATACACAGACACTTACACACACACACAGACACATACACAGACACAGACACAGACACAGACACAGACACAGACACGGACACTTACACATACACTTACACAGACACATACACAGACACAGACACAGACACAGACACACACACAGACACAGACACAGACACAGACACAGATACAGACACTTACACAGACAATTGAACAGACACAGACACATACACAGACACAGACACATACACATGCACAGACAAATACACACACACTTACACAGACACATATACAGACACTTACACAGACACAGACACAGACACAGACACTTACACGGACACACACACAGACATTTACACATACACAGACACAGACACAGACACAGACACAGACACAGACACAGACACAGACACAGACACAGACACAGACACAGACACAGACACATACACATACACAGACACAGACACAGACACAGACACAGACACAGACACAGACACAGACACAGACACAGACACAGACACATACACAGACACAGACACAGACACAGACACTTACACAGACACAGACACAGACACACAGACACAGACACACAGACACAGACACAGACACAGACACTTACACAGACACAGACACAAACACAGACACAGACACAGACACATACACAGACACAGACACAGACACAGACACAGACACAGACACAGACACATACACAGACAGACACAGACACAGACACAGACACAGACACATACACAGACACAGACACAGACACATACACAGACACAGACACAGACACACTTACACAGACACTTACACAGACACAGACACAGACACAGACACAGACACAGACACATACACATACACAGACACATACACATACACAGACACAGACACATACACATACACATACACAGACACAGACACAGACACAGACACAGACACAGACACAGACACAGACACAGACACACATACACAGACACATGCACATACACAGACAATTAAACAGACACAGACAAAAACACATACACATGCACAGACACATACACAGACACTTACACAGACACTTACACAGACAGAGACACAGACACAGACACAGACACATGCACAGACACAGACACAGACACAGACACAGGACACATACACAGACACAGACACATACACAGACACAGACACAGACACATACACAGACACAGACACAGACACGGACACAGACACATACACAGACACATACACATACACAGACACAGACACAGATACAGACACAGACACAGACATACAGACACATACACAGACACATCCACAGACACAGACACAGACACAGACACAGACACAGACACAGACACACAGACACAGACACAGACACACAGACACAGACACAGACACAGACACATACACACACACAGACACAGACACATACACAGACACATACACAGACACACAGACACAGACACAGACACAGACACACAGACACAGACACACAGACACAGACACAGACACACACACTTACACAGACACAGACACAGACACAGACACACAGACACAGACACAGACACATACACACACAGACAGACATACAGACATATACACAGACACATACAGACACAGACACAGACACATACACAGACACAGACACAGACACATACACAGACACACACACACACACATACATACATACACATACACATACACAGACACAGACACAGACACAGACACAGACACATACACATACACAGACACAGACACAGACACTTACACAGACACAGACACAGACACAGACACATACACAGACACACATACACACAGACACACACACAGACACACAGACACAGACGCAGACACATACACAGACACATACACACACACAGACACATACACAGACAGACACACGACACTTACACAGACACAGACACATACACAGACACAGACACAGACACAGACACAGACACAGACACAGACACATACACATACACATACACAGACACAGACACAGACACAGACACAGACACGGACACATACACAGACACAGACACAGACACAGACACTTACACAGACACATGCACATACACTTACACAGACACAGACACAGACACAGACACAGACACAGACACAGACACAGACACAGACACAGACACAGACACTTACACAGACACAGACACAGACACAGACACTTACACACAGACACAGACACAGACACAGACACAGACACAGACACAGACACAGACACAGACACGGACACTTACACAGACACAGACACAGACACAGACACATACACAGACACAGACACTTACACATACACAGACACAGACACAGACACAGACACGGACACGGACACTTACAGACACAGACACATACACAGACACAGACACTTACACATACACAAACACATACGCAGACATATACACAGACACTTACACAGACACAGACAGATACACAGACACAGACACTTACACATACACAGACACAGACACATACACATACACATACACAGACACAGACACAGACACAGACACAGACACAGACACAGACACATGCACATACACAGACACAGACACAGACACAGACACACACATGCACATACACTTACACAGACACAGACACAGACACAGACACAGACACTTACACAGACACAGACGCAGACACAGACACTGACACAGACACAGACACAGACACAGACACTTACACAGACACAGACACAGACACAGAGACGGACACTTACACAGACACAGAGACACAGACACAGACACAGACACAGACACAGACACATACACATACACATACACAGACACAGACACTTACACGGACACTTACACAGACACAGACACAGACACAGACACAGACACTTACACATACACAGACACAGACACATACGCAGACATATACACAGACACTTACACAGACACAGACACAGACACATACACAGACACTTACACAAACACAGAAACTTACACAGATACATACACAGACACTTACAAAGACACAGACACAGACACTTACACAGACATATACACAGACACTTACACAGACACATACACAGACACTTACACAGACACAGACACAGACACGGACACATACACATGGAGACACAGACACAGACACTTACACAGACACATGCACATACACTTACACAGACACAGACACAGACACAGACACTTACACAGACACAGACACAGACACAGACGCAGACACAGACACAGACACAGACACAGACACAGACACAGACACTTACACAAACACAGAAACTTACACAGATACATACACAGACACTTACACAGACACAGACACAGACACTTACACAGACATATACACAGACACTTACACAAACACATACACAGACACTTACACAGACACAGACACAGACACAGACACAGGCACTTACACGGACACTTTCACATACACTTACACAGAAACATACACAGACACAGACACAGACATTTACACATACACAGACATAGACACAGACACTTACACAGACAGAGACAGAGACACAGACACAGACACTTACACAGACACAGACACTTACACAGACAGTTGAACAGACACAGACACAGACACTTACACAGACAGAGACACAGACACAGAAACTTACACAGACACATACACAGACACATACAGAGACATTTACACAGACACAGACACTTACACATACACAGACACAGACACAGACACAGACACAGACACACACACAGACACACACACAGACACTTACACAGACACATGCACATACACTTACACAGACACAGACACATACACAGACACAGACACAGACACAGACACTTAGACAGACACAGACACAGACACAAACACTTACACAGACACTTACACAGACACAGACACATACACAGACACTTACACGAACACTTACACAAACACAGACACATACACAGACACATACACTTACACATACACTTACACAGACACTTACACGGACACTTACACGGACACTTACACAGACACAGACACATACACAGACACAGACACAGACACTTACACATACAGAGACACAGACACAGACACAGACACAGACACTTACACTTACACTTACACATACACTTACACAGACACAGACACAGACACAGCCACAGACATTTACACGGACACTTACACATACACTTACACAGACAAAGACACATTCACATACGCAGACACATACGCAGAGATAAACACATACACATATGCAGACACATACACATACAAATACCCAGAGACATACACAGACACATAGGCAGAGATATACACATACACATATGCAGACACATACCAATACAAATACCCAGAGACATACGCAGACACGTATGCCGTCATATACGCAGACACATACGCAGACATATACACATACGCAGACACATACACAGACACCTACCCAGAGACATACGCAGACACATATGCAGACACATACACAGACACATACGCAGACATATACACAGACACTTACACAGACACAGACACAGACACATACACAGACACTTACACAAACACAGACACTTACACAGATACATACACAGACACTTACACAGACACAGACACAGACACAGACACAGACACTTACACGGACACTTACACATACACAGACACAGACACTTACACAGACACAGACACAGACACGGACACTTACACATACACTTACACAGACACAGACACAGACACAGACACTTATACATACACAGACACATTCACAGACACTTACACAGACACAGACACAGACACAGACACATACACAGACACATACACAGACACAGACACTTACACAGACAATTGAACAGACACAGACACAGACACAGACACAGACACAGACACAGACACACACAATTACAGACACAGACACAGACACTTACACAGACACAGGCACTTGCACGGACACATACACAGACACATACACAGACATTTACACAGACACAGACACAGACACAGACAATTACACAGACAGAGACACAGACACAGACACATGCACAGACACAGACACAGACAATTACACAGACACATGCACATACACTTACACAGACACAGACACATACACAGACACAGACACAGACACAGACACTTACACATACACAGACACAGACACAGACACATACACAGACAATTGAACAGACACAGACAAAAACACATACACATGCACAGACACATACACAGACACTTACACTGACACATACACAGACACTTACACAGACACAGACACATACACAGACACTTACACCGACACCGACACAGACACTTACACAGACACAGACACAGACACATACGCAGACACATAGGCAGAGATATACACATACACATATGCAGACACATACCAATACAAATACCCAGAGACATACGCAGACACATATGCCGACATATACGCAGACACATACGCAGACACATAAGCAGACACATACACAGACACTTACACAGACACAGACACATACACAGACACTTACACAAACACAGACACTTACACAGATACATACACAGACACTTACACAGACACAGACACAGACACATACACAGACACATACACAGACACTTACACAAACACTTACACAGACACTTACATAGACACAGACACAGACACAGACACAGACACAGACACTTACACAGACACTTACACCGACACAGACACAGACACTTACACAGACAATTGAACAGACACAGACACATACACAGACACAGACACTTACACAGACACATACACAGACACATACACAGACATTTACACAGACAGAGACACAGACACAGACACTTACACAGACACAGACACAGACACAGACACAGACACAGACACAGACACAGACACAGACATTTACACAGACACATACACAGACAGAGACACATGCACAGACACAGACACAGACAGACACTTACACAGACACATACACAGACACAGACACAGACACTTACACGGACACTTACACAGACACAGACACAGACACAGACACTTACACGGACACTTACACATACACAGACACATTCACAGACACAGACACTTACACAGACACAGACACAGACACATACGCAGACACAAACACATACACAGACACATACGCAGACATAAACACGTACACATATGCAGACACAGACACATACAAATACCCAGAGACATACGCAGACACATAGGCAGAGATATACACATACACATATGCAGACACATACCAATACAAATACCCAGAGACATACGCAGACACATATGCCGACATATACGCAGACACATATGCAGACACATAAGCAGACACATACACAGACACATACGCAGACATATACACATACGCAGACACATACACAGACACCTACCCAGAGACATACGCAGACACATATGCAGACACATACACAGACACATACGCAGACACATACGCAGACACATACCCAGAGACATACGCAGACACATACGCAGACACATATGGACATGTGTATATCAGCCATGTTAAATTTGATCGGTAACTGTTTTCTCGACTCTAAATTTTAAAGCTCTCAGCTGTAATTGGTACATTTCTTTTTTTGTAATTATGATGATTTGTTTGTATTCTCTGCATGTACATATCATAAATTATAGCGATACATGTTATAAATTATAGCGATACATGTTATAAAATATAGCGACACATGTTATGAAATATAGATAGTCAATGAAATGCACCTGTATTTCCAAGTAACATGTATAGGTTTAATTCGGGTATTCCCATCCGCAGTCGAGATGCGTTATTTACCTAACCTAATTAAATCTGTCGTCACAAATTCCCTCTGACCTGGGACACAACAGATCTGAATCAGTTCAGGGTAACGGGTTGTTTAGTTTGACGCCACGTGTGTTAGTGTAGGGTACACATTGGGCAATAATGTGGCCTCTTGTGAAGAAAGGACCCGGTCCGTTCTTCCTTGTACATCTTCTCATCTCAATGCTAGTTACAGGGCGGTACCTGTAAAACATGGACCCGAGATGGATATAGCATAAACGTGTTTCACTGCTCCAGGAGACCAGAAGAGGTTCATTCAAAGTGTGAAATTATGCTCTGTCGAAAGTGACAGGAGTCTGAAGACGCCATTCTGTCCCCGTTACCACTGAATTGGGACGGTTTAGTGTTGGATTAACTGTTTGACTGCAGACTGCAAGATATAGAGAACTGCATGTACATGCGAATGTGATACTGACGTCAGATGACTGGTTGAAATTGAAGTCAACTGTCCTCACATACCTGGACATACCTGGACACACCTGTACTTAATGACAGTGGCTTCAACTCAGCATTCCTCTCCTTTCATCACGGAAAATAACAGCAAAATGTTGTTATTTTACATTGTGACAGTCAGTGCTTTAACAGGTATCAAGGCCGATAACTCTTCAAATTCCATTGGCCTGATTCCACCAAAATGGAGCTCTATGTGTTATCAAACATACGACAACTACACAGTGGTTGAATGTGAAATAGGACACAATGACACCACCAAGTGGATGTTGGACGATTTAAGAAACTGGACAATCAGCAACAATGTGAATGTAACATACTACTTGAATCTCCGCTGTGAAGATGGCGCTTCAATATCGCTCCCCTGGCCCTTCAAATCCCCGGGTCTAACTGGATTAACAGTCTCCCACTGTGGCATAGAAGATTACTACCACGACTATCAACGTCATTTTGAAGGTTACCCCGACGAACTTGACGTGTTTTTGATCGAACAATGCGTTTTCGTGGAAAACCTCATGGATATCATTAAGGTTTTAAGAGGACCTACAACAAAAGCCTATGTGTGTGGACAGAGCGACAGTATAAAGAAGTACACTTTCAGAAATAACAGCATAGAGATGAGAGGACAACTTTCGGACATTAATGAGTCAAACATAACCGACTTTAATGATGACATTAACACAATTGGGATTCAGTGTATGTTCCCATACCTTCAGAAGATAGAGAACACACACAATGCATACTTATCAGAACGTCATTTTGAAGTCTTCAGCAAGGACCGTAACTACCCGTCCCTGACATATTGCAACTACTCCCATAACTTCATCAACAAGCTGCCATTGGTCTTTCAGAACTTCAGGTTGTCGTTTCCGATGTTGGAAGTTTTGGATCTGTCTCACAATCTCATAACATTTTGGGATTTCACGTACCAGGTAACGTCATTAGTTGAATCTACGCACGTTGACCTTCGCTATAACAACATCACACGGATAACGCTAGAGGACATGGAAACACTGAAAGGTTTAGAACCAGCGTTCGTTGATATCCGGGATAACCCAATCTCTTGTGATTGTTCAATGAAGACGTTTATGAAAGAACTGAAATTTGGTTCTGTGTTCGAACCAAATATGTTGAAATATAAATATATCGAGAATATGACTTGTGTCACCCCTAAGTCATTTAAAGGGATTCGTCTGAAAGATGTCAACTTGGAAGATCTGTTCTGTGACAAGGATGATTCCCATTGGGCATATCCCTCTGTGATTTGTGCTTCTGTGACCTTGATCTTCCTGTTCGTGGTGCTCTTCTGTATATTATACCCAAATCGGGAGTTACTCCAGATTCTGTGTGTGACTAGATGTAACATCCTCCCTCCGTTGACGACATGGGACACCGCCGTCAAGAACTATGACGTCTTCATCGCGGCCTCCGAGGTTGACGAGGACTGGATAGTGGACAATCTTCTGTACCAATTAGAAGACATCGAATTGACTGACGATACTGAACATGATCGAACAACCCGGAAGGTAAATGTGTGTGTTCCAGGGCGTGACTTCCGGCCGGGGGCATTCACCATTGATGAAATCATTGATAAAACAGAGAAAAGCAGAAGGACTATGGTAGTTCTGTCCAAAGCTTTTGTGGCATCTCGAATGTGCGGGGAGATGTTACGCCAAGCCTACTTCCAGAGCATAATTGAACGGAGATGCCACTTGGTATTTGTGAAACTTGAACAAATTGATTTAAATAGTATCGACTCTACCCTGAAGAGAAGTTTAAAACTCTACAGAGTACTGGACGTAGCCGACAGGTACTTCTGGGACAAGATCAAGTTTCTCTTGAAGACCACGCTCAAGAAAGGTTACGCCAAAAAACAGTGAACCACTGTAGCAGAAAGCTTGTGATGTGGTGGGGCCGTTGGAAATAGCATCCTAGAAACGGAGTGAATGTTCAATGCAACTTCAAACAGTATTTAAAACATAACACGTCATTTCATTGTGTGAAAAACACCCAGGAAGTGTCCATGTGTGTAACTCACACAGAGATTGCAAGTCTCTCTGGACATATTCCTTTGTTTTTCATGTGAAATACCTTCTGGTTCGATTAGAAATAATGAATTTCTGAATGAGCAAAAGGAAGAAAACACACATACGACTGAACAGTAAGTATTGCGTAAGTTGAGCTCTCAGAAACATTAGTCGGACACTGGCTTGATGTCATATGGAAGTCCCATGGTCGTCTATGGATAGCATAGTCATAGTTGAACTTTATGTGTTGGGACATTAGACTGAACGTTGTAGCTGACTGACACTTGTAAAGGTAGACCCCCTACATCAAAACATGTTCATTGCACAGGCTCACTGTACTTACCGATGTCCTGTCTGCTATTGACATGATCCTGTCAATAAGTGTGATTGCTCCACACAAAGTAACAATTTGAGAGTTTTTATATGATAAGTCAGTGCATTTCCTTTTGATATTCCATATCGAGGTATATTTTGTACAGGATAGTGTATCTGACGTGACTGTGTCGAGGTGAGTGAGTGAGTAGATAACTGCTGATTGGTGGAAGGGGAGCCCGAAGTGATGCATATATCAGATATTTACCTGTCCGATGAAGGTCAAGAACACCGATGTGGTGCTGACAAGCACAGACATATTACCGTGGCGGGCCTGGATTCGAACCCACAGTCATATGTTTCTGCCTAACGCAACTGTGCACAGCGAATTGGGGCGCCCTAGACGACTGGCACGTTCCCCAAAACAGCTTAGGAACATTTGATTCATGTTGTTTATGTTCTGCATTAATATCCTTGCATTTAGCTGTTTAGTGAATGATCAAGGCAGCTTTTGTGCTCTTTAATCTGTTTTGTAGGCAGTCCACTTCATATGTAGTTTTGTATTATTATTAGTTTTCGTTTACACTTTACAAACTAACTCTTTATCTTCACATTTCCGTTTAGTTTTGTATATCGATTTTGAAATGAGTTCAAATACTAGTATGTGTATGTTAGAGGAAGCGAACTAAATTAGTTCCGTCTGCACAATAGTAAAGGAATGAGGGGGTAAATACTGCCTTCATCTGCATCAAATCAGGAAGACATGAAGCTCCTGTGTGACATCCTTTCCTCCTGATTTGTTTGCTCGGTCAACAACCCTGTGCTCGACAGTTGCCTCAGTCCCGGCGAGAGGTCGTGCATAGGTTGTCGACCGAACAACGAGCAGGGATGAACTTTCACCTGTTGACAGATTCCAACAGTTTAGGGCGAGTTGCCTCCCTTACATCAACAGATCTCGTCCTGTTGCTTTGGGGTATCCCACGAAGCGCACGTACAAAATCACAGTTATTAATTTATAGCGATTGTTTTCAGTACCGTGACGCTATATATAATTTACTCATCTTAATCTCTCAAATATTATGCAGTCAAGTGTATCGTCCTTAAGGCTTACAGCAGTATGTTGTGTGCTCCATTGTCGGTCTAGAACCAGGCCTGACCTTGGGTTTACAGAGCACGATAGATCACCAGGACCCCATTCTTCAGAGAAATGTAATCTGCTGAACTGTTCCGCTGTAGCTCACCATATCCAGGTCTATAAACAGAGGGACAATTCATCAACAGGTCGCTCAGCTGGAACAGTCACAGGAGTCCCTAATTAGTCTCTAATTATCCCAACAATTAATTGTCACATGCTTGATTAGGAGGCGTCATGCGAGGCCGACATTTGTACCAAATAGATATGCAGAGAGGTGCCAGGCCGACATTTGTATGATCGACATGAAATGTGATTGGTTAATTGAAATGCCTGAAAAGAGCTGAAAATAAAAGTGTGAAATGTATGTAAGGTGCTTAATATATAGAGAATCTCACCCAAGTGTCTTCTGATATCAATTATATCAACACGAGTTGATAAAGTTACAAATATCCGAGGCTTGCCGAGGATATTTTTACTTTTATCAACGAGTGTTGATATATTTGATATCAGAAGACACGAGGGTGAGATTCTATTTATCATCCAAAATCACTCTTCATTAATTTTCAATGAAAAATGTACATCTCTGAACATGGTACTGCCATTAGACTTGCAGTGCAGCGATGTCATAGCATTGTGACGTCATCAAGTACATGACGTCATAGCATTGTCAGGGCATTGTACAATATCTACTGTCAAAACGATATCTCCTAGGAGATATCATATGATCTCACACAAGCGATATCTCCTGTGGAACACAGTTTTGGATGATAAATATAGATGTAATGTATTAAACATTTTCAAAATTTAATGTAATGTATGAAAAGTGCTTTTAAACTTTTTTAAATGTGATTGATTAATTTATGAATAAATGAACGAACAAGTGTATTAAATGTGCATGTTTGTAAGATGATGTAATGAAAATATTACATACAGCAAATAAACGCATCCTGGTAGTCGTAAGTAACTTTTCCCTCAATCTTTTTTTTAGACATTCCCCCCAGATTTAATCCCCCACTGCCATTGTTTCGCTAATCCTTATAAAATTGGCAAGGGTAAAATATTGCACCAGGCTGACTTGCAAGAGCGGGCTGAAACCGTCATATTAACCCGACTCCCGGCCTGGTAGCACACACACACAGAGAGAGAGAGAGAGGGAGAGAGAGAGAGAGAGAGAGAGAGAGAGAGAGAGAGAGAGAGAGAGAGAGAGAGAGAGACAGACAGACAGACAGACAGACAGACAGACAGACAGACAGACAGACAGACAGACACACACACACACACACACACACACCTTGGTTATTGCCTAACTGTTAGTCTAATGCTTAGTCTCTGAATATTATATAAGTTTGATGGTAACAAACAAGCCCATTTAAATTGAAAAGGAGCCCCAGGGAGACCAGAGATTCAGAACCTGAGGAAATCTAGACTTGCTTTATTTAGGGCTTTAGCACTGCAGAGAGAGCTTGGCAGTGTGGAAAATAATGTGGCTCAGGGACAGTGAGACAGACTACCTAACTGTGTATTTCTGATGATTGGGCGGTTTAGCTGTCTCTTGTTCCTTTCGTGGCATTTACCGTTCTGTTGGAGTGTTATGACTAAATACCTTGCGCTGCCATATAGCTGGAATATTACTGAGTGCGGTGTAAACCTAAACTCACCCACTCACTCACTAAATACCTTAACTGGTTCATCAAGCAGGGTGTCTTTAGGTGTCGTTGTGGACACTGTTGTTCTTGTTGATTGATTGCCTTACATGTTGTTATTGATTAACCACACCCCTTTGACTTGGTATTTTAGTTAGTTATTGCTAGGTTTATGCAATATAAAAAGCTATCTCCAAACGTCAAGCTGATTATTTGCGTGAAACAGACACTAACTCAAACGCCATTTTGTCACAGACTAGAATGATCTTAGCTCCTTACAATTGGTCCGGACCAATTGTAAATTTCGATTGTAACTTACAATGATCTTAGCCTACAAACGCTTTATGCAAGTGGATGGCGATTGTAGCCGAAGCCTAAGATCGCGATCTTAAGGCTTTACAATCATTGTAGCGCTGAGATCGTTCTGTGCAAGTGGGCCCTGGTATAGATAGTTATAACTGATCAACCATCCTCCATACCACGTCGTGAACACAACAGAGACATTTGACGCCTTTATAATCACTAGGGTTGGGTATTGCCAACATTTTCGGATTGCGATATATCGTGATATGTGTTGGCGTATTGTAATACGTATTGTAATATATTGTGAAATAGTTAAGATACATAGCGTCAACTAACAGTAACATGTTAGTGAACGCTGGATAATATGTTTTGAGAAGGGCACAGGAGATAGGAGTGTGCTGTTACTATGCTCATCATATATATGTGATTCACTATATATCTTGTTTATGTAGTTTATAGAATATTGTCACTGTTTCTGTAGGGAACGTTTGCACAATAAATATTTGATCTGATTGATTTTGATTTGATATACTCTGTAGTGACTCTCGGTCAGCTCATTAAATAAATAGGGGTGGACAGCATTGCTCAGCTAATTAGTGTATCTGTCTTTTGAGCCTGTCTTTTGGGAGGTCTGTCTTTTGGGAGTGAACCTGAACGCTATGTATCTTAGCTAATTGTGAAAGTGTAACACATGGTTTAAGGACACTAATGAACTTACTATTTCCTTTCTTTTGAAACAATGCCACTGGCCATTGTCATTGTACAAGAGATCAATTGAAGTTGTTTCTGAATTGAAGACGCCATTTTGATTTGTTTATCCCAACAGCGAGTGTCTGTACCAAGCTATTTTTTACTTTATATGGTTTAAAAGTCATGCAAATGCAATTATATGACTATTAATGTATAATAATATAAAGGAAATACAAATGTTGTTAGTATTATTGACTACATCACGAAAATTACCGATCATTGCCGCGGAAATTGCCAGTCGTATCGGTGAACCGGTTCACGAGAAGTGTACCGCAATATATCGTATTGTGAAGTTCGAATTGCAATATACCGGTTAACCGGTATTATCGCCCGCCCTTAATAATCACCTGAACGTTTGGCCAGTTAAAACACTGGTGACTTTCACCTAATGGCAACATGTTCACTGACAGCTTGGAATAGTCTCTTAGGCTTTGAATACACAATTACATGAAGAAAATAGTCAAATGTCAACAGATTCAAATACTTACTTTCAGAGTAAGGTACCTAATTGCCAACACACAAAGTCTACCCACTACCGGATGACAATCAACCCCCTCAAATAGTAGAATCTGCACTTTGCCGAGAAAGTGTAATTCTAGATATACCACAAGTTACTCTCTCTGATGTTACTGTGTACTACAAATAGCAGTAACATCTATAACAATGCCTAGTTAACATTACAGGTGTACCAGTACCAGCGTGCATGTGTT